TCAATGAAAAAAATAACCTATTTTTTGCCACACTATCTGATTTTGTTTGAAGGGTGTATTCAATGCTAATTTTCCTGTCAGTGAAAAAAACAACCTATTTTTGGCCACACTATCTGGTTTTGTTTGAAGGGTTTACTGTTCATGTCAGTGGAAAAAATAACCTATTTTTGGCCACACTATCTGGGTGTATTGAATGCTAATTTTCCTGTCAGTGAACAAAACAACCTATTTTTGGCCACAGTATCTGGTTTTGTTTGAATCGTCGGAATTAATGGTGTTAGTTGAATTGCATTTATTATTTCGGTTACCAAAATTGTATTGATAACTAAAATTTTCGAATTCCCATGCAGATATTAAATCCTATTTATTATTCACATGCCAACCCTTTTTTGAACTGAAGACTATTCACATTTCAACCATATAGTTAGGGTTTGTAGTTAGGGTAGTAGAATAATGTATTGAATGAATACTATATTCCAACCATATGATACCAAAGTGATAACTGGAAAATACCAAAATAGAAATTTGATAACTGGAAAATAAAAGTACACATTACATAACTAGATATTTGATAACTGGAAAATAATAGCAACAAAATAAAAGCTAACAAAAGTTAAAAACAACACAAAATGGGTTTCCTACAAACATAAATTTAAATACTAGTTAATTTCAACTGGATCTTCGAGTTTCTTGGCCTTTCACGTGCAATTGGAAGACAACACATAATTGTGTAATTTCGACCAACTCAAATTTAATTAAACAACCCCACTTGATGTTATTATTCATCACAAAATATTTTCAGCCGTCCTTGAACCATCTTCGTTTGCCCATGTTAATTTCCATAAACCAAGCTCGCCATCATATCGAAGAACTGTTGTGCTATATGATTCAGGAATGTGGTCGTAAAATGTTTTGGAATATGCTGCAAACAAAAAGAAAAAAAATTGTTTGAAGTAATGCAATGTGGAACAACAAAGTTGTTCAACCATAGGTGATTTGTAGACAGATACAACCAAGAAAATGTATACTTGGTTGGTTGAGAGATTAATAATATTTTTCTTTACACCAAAAATTTTTTAGAAATACAACACTGCCAGTCTATGGGAAATTTTAGAAATAAAAAAAATTGTTTGTTTGATATTTTATTACAACCAGATCTGTTTGTTTGAAACTGAGAGATCAATAATATTTTTCTTTACACAAAAAAAAAAAGTAATACAACACTCCCAGTCTATGGGAAATTTTAGAAATAAAAAAAATAAAAAAATCTGTTTGTTTGATATTTTATTACAACCAGATCTGTTCATATGCTTGTTAGGTGGACTGATTCAAAATCGATATTTTTGAAACTGATCCGTTCATATGTTATTTCATTTCGCGATTTTGGGTTATTTCACCATTGTTGCCTTCGACCTTGGAGCTTTTTGGGCGATTCTGAAGAGAGAAATCAAGAGACTTCGTTTAGGTAAGGAATTTTGGACCTAAAACACACTTCTACGGTAATATTTCATGGATTAAGACTGAAATTAAAGGAACTAAAGGACTAAAAATGGAGGATTAGGGCTTGAGTTTAAGAAGCCTTTAAATTGGGATTTGAGGAGTCATTTGGACTCCGATTTTAGTATTTTTGATATGTATGAACTCGTGGGGAGATAAGGAATCCGTTGGTGTAAAAATTTCTGAGTTTCGAGAAGTGGGCCCGGGGTTCGGGTTTTGCTAATTTCGGGATTTTTGGTATTTTTCGATTATTTCGCTTGGGCTTTGTTCCCTTAGCATGTTTTGACGCCTTCATTCTGATTTTAGATAGATTCAACGCGCGTGGAGGCCAATTCGAAGGGCAAAGGAGTCGCGAGCTAGAGATTTAGCCGGTTCAAGGTGAGTAATGATGGTAAATGATGTTCTGAGGGTTTGAAACCCCGGATTGTGCATCGTAGTACTATATTGAGGCGAGGCACACGCTCGATGACGAGCGTGGGGTCGTGTACTATTAGGGATTTGGACTTGGTCCGTCCCGATTGATGATTTTACCGCGTATTTGATTGGAAACTATTTGTTATCATCGTTTATTGGGCTGAATGCCATATTTGGGCTTCGTGTCAACTACTTGAACCCTTCGGGGCTTTTATTTGATATTTCCTCACTGTTTTGACTTACTATTTGGACTCAGTCGGGTTAATTTCCACTGTTTTACTACTCAGCCATTTTTACTCGGTTTTGAGACTTAAATGATATTTTGGGCTGAGAAACACTGTTTTATTATTGCCCGAGGGGTTTGTGAGTATCTTTGACTGAGTAAGGCCGAGGGCCTATGTTGTGAGGAGACATTGATACTGATTTGAGGCCGAAGGCCTGAGATATGTACGCCACGAGGTGGCTTGAGTGATATGAGGCCGAGGGCCTAGATTTGATGCCACAAGATGGCTTGTTATTGCGCTTGGGCCGTAAGGGGGCCCCTCCAGGAGTCTGCACACCCCTAGTGAGCGCGGGTACCCATTGTGATGTGAGATTGAGCCCGAGGGGCTGTTACTGTTGTGAGTAATTGCCCGAGGGGCGGATGTGGTATTACTGTGCCCGAGGGGCAAATTCCTATTTGTTTATTTTATCATAATTAACTGTCAATTACCTGATTAGTGGTTTAAAGAGCATTTTCTTGATTTTACTGGTTTTTACTGAAATTAAATGATTTTTCTGCTTCATTATAGACTGTCGTATGCCTTACGTGTTTTCTTGCTTTCAGTCATTATTTATATTCGTTACTCACTGAGTTGGAGTACTCACTTTACTCCCTGCACCATGTGTGCAGATTCAGGCGTAGCTGGTTCCGCTCCGGAATGCTGACTTCCTCCAGTTCCAGGCGGGCCCTTTCAGAGATTACGAGGTAGTTGTTGACATCCGCAGCCCCGTGTCTCAACTCACCTATCATTTCTGTTTCCATACAAACATTTGTAGTAGTTTATGACTTTAGCAGACTGTATTGTGGCTCATAGATGCTCGTGACTTGTGACACCCCGGTTAGGGCTGTGTCGGGTTGGATTTTTCATATTTTTTCTTGATATTTCCGCTATTCAGTATCTATTAAATCGCGTTTAGACTATTTTGTGTTGGTTAACTGCTTTAAAAGATGAATTGGGTTTAGTCGGCTGGTCTTGTCTTCACGAGAGGCGCCATCACGACCGGGTCGGGATTTAGGCTCGTGACATAGAGGCTACATCAAGTGCAGTGATATTCGTTATTGAAGTGCAAGGATAGGAACATCTAATGCTTAGGTTTTTCATGTACGCCAGTGTTCAACCCTTGTAATTAAAATATTTATGGATTAATATGATTTTCTTATACTTTTGTCTATTTTTTTCCTTGTATTATTGTTATACTTATTAAAGGATAGTGGAATTATCGTCTGTGATTTTTGCTTGTTATAGTTTTTTCATGTTTATGAAAATTATTTTATACATTTTCCTAAACGACTAAAACCTCCTCAAAATACGACTAAAACCTAAACTACTGGGAAGAGGACTGAAAATTACACCTCCTCATCTTCTTTCAGATGTAATAGAACCCAGAAGAAAATTAAAAAAAAAAATCCTGACAATCTTAATACAATTTGGTCATAGAGAATTGGAAAAGTCATCACGAATAAACCTCCTCTTCGGATGAAAACAAAACGGAAAGAATAATGTTAAAGCGGGGATTCGAACTTGCGTGTGTGAGTATGAACGGGAAAGAAATAGGAGATTTGATCAACCAGCGGGTCTGGTTGGATTCAATATTAGAAGTAGTAGCTAATATGCCATTACAAACACTATAAGAAAAAATTTTGATATGTTTAAGTTTCATAATCAAAACAAGCACAATTTCTTCAAAATCAAAAAGTTCTACACCAAATAAAACAACAATGCAATTAGGCCAACTGAGAACTCCAAGTTTCAGCAATATTCTTTATTATATTTCCACGTCTTGATCGGCATTGAGATCAAACAAGCTTGATTGCGATTGTGTAGCGTCAATTTGCTGCAATTAAAATCAAACAAACACTATAAGAAAACATGATATTTTTAAGTATAAATCAAATATAGTCGCAAAAATTGTACCTCATTCACACCTAGGGAACCATCATGCTCAACGTTTGTACCTCTGCCTTGCCCATTAACCCTAACCCTACGTCCACCACTTCTACCGCCACCTCTACCACCACGATTTCCACCAACCCTACCACCACCCCTACCACCCCCTCTAACACCAGTTCTTGCGCCATTACTAGCTCCAAATACACCATGCGACTGTGAACTTGTAAAGTAGTATTCAATTCTTCCTCTATATCGATTCAAACGCAGCCTGCCACGTGAATTAGTGTGCTAGGGATCTCGTAGAGTGGTGCCTTCAGTTTCATCTGAGTCATCCTGGTCTTGGTTTGGCATGATCATTTTGTCGTCCCAGTTTTGAAGATCATGCACCATCTTCTTCAAATTATGCTTAACATATTAAACCTTCACGCTAGTGCCCAGTGCTATATCATAAGCCATGTCAAAATACTTCAACATGCTCCTGTATGTCTTATACTCAGGCGTCATGGTTGGGTAACCAACTTGATGGAACTGATTCAAGTGTGGCCTAATAACATCACTTATCCACCTTGTCAGTATATACCTTTCATCAATTTTATTAATCTTCTTGGGCGACAAGATCTTGAGTATATGGCAACAAAGTATCCCTCTAGACTCGAACCATTTGCAGCTGCAACTAAAATAGTCGCCGATAGGTATATATTCAACAATGTACTCAACTGGATTTCCATCATTTTTTGTTATAACTGAATAATCACTAACGATGAATTTCTCAACACCGGGGACAACTTGATGATCGTCGGGGCTGCTGACTACACAATGATACAATTTCCTTAGCTGTGTCTTGAAAATTTTATACACTGTACGCGTATAACACTGAATTGCCTACTGCTCCCACTTGAACATTGACTCGCACACAATTTGAAAGCCCTTTGACCTTTATTCCTCTTCCAACTCTTTCTCATGCTTAGCTCTTATAGCTAACTCATACTGGTGAACAAATATCCTAAGATTGCTTTGACGAGTAATATATCCATCAAAGAACGCATGCATCCCCTCACTTCTTTGCATAGATAGCATACCACCCCAAAAATACACATAAAGGTACACATGAACCCATTTTTCCTTCTCAGAGTAAAGCTTGTTGAACCAATTCCTTGTATGCAAACTATACCTTGCAATATATTCTGTCCACTTTCTCTCAAAAACTTCAACAGTTATGCTATCAAGGACCATGGATTTAAATTCTGCACATGCAATTTTAGAAGGACGAACACCACTTAAGTAAACAGGCAACTTTGAGAATATATGCCAAATACAATACCTATGTATTGTATTTGGCATCACTTCAGCAATGGCTACCTTAATGCTTTGACACTGATCAGTTATGATCGCATCTGGATGAACATTTCCCAAGGCATCAAGCCAAGTTCTAAAAACTAATTTGTAACTATCGATATCTTCATGAGACATGAGAGCACATCCTAGTAAGATGGACTGTCTATGGTGATTAATGCCGACAAATGAAGAACATGGCATATTATATCGATTCACAAGGTACGTCGTATCAAAGCATATCGCATCATGGAATTGCTCATACGCTGCCTTACAGCGTGAATGCACCCATACCGCATTTCGCAGCCTACCAATATTATCAACGTCGATAGAATAGAAAAACTCTCTATCCTTTACCTGGATTTCACGAAAAAGGTTGAGCAGCGACTGTGCGTCCCCTTCTTGCATTTCAAAATTCCTACTCTTCAAAATATAATTTCTACAATCCTTTGGAGTGCAACCCAAATTTTGCGGTCCACCACGTTGAACCTCAGCAAGTCTAATATTTTTGGAGGGTCTAATGCCAGATCGATCGGGAGCTACAAGATCCCTCTTTAAAGAATTACAAACAGACATATGTCCAGCCATCAGGCACGATACGGATGGGTGCAAATCATGATTGTGATCGTGAACGACCTTAGAGATGCGCTAACAACCAAAATCATCCAAAACAGCAGCTAGCCTAGCTTTACAATTGTTACTCTTGGTGGTAAACTTGATTTTGTGAATCCTAGTCCTATCACAACAGTAGGTTATATACCTGGCAGTGTCACCACCCTTCTTGTTGGAATTTCTTTTGATGACGGAGAATCCTCTCAGTCGTGCATGTTCTTTGTAGAATGCAAACAAAGTATCTTTATCTCTAAATCGCATTCCAGAGATTGGACCTACAACCACATCCTCTTCAGTGAATTCATTCTCTATTTCCTAATCTATATCGCATAACTCTAACTCATTTCCTAAAACCTGCTCCTCATCATCGTTAGCTTCTCCGTGATATTCTCCATCGGCTTCTTCTTCATCATCATCATCGTCTAAGTGTACATCATTGTTGAAACTGTCGTGAGAATCAACATCGACCCATTCGTATTCATTCAACAAACTATCGTCCGATGCCATCCCTAAAGATCTGTACAACCTGCCCCTAACTCGATCAAACCTATTATCTTGGTTGATATTCATGGTTGTTGTATTTATGTTTTCATTTGGATTCATATTTTATTACACCGCCAAATTTTTTGGGTTTGAATCCATTTTTAGAGAAGGAGAAAGTGTCCGCTGGTTTAGGGATAGACAAGGAGGAAAGTGTCCGCTGGTTTAGGGTTTGGTAATGAGGACGTATACAAAATCGTATACCGTATTTGTTTTTAAGAAAGGAAGAAAATACAATAATTTGTTAAAAAAATGTATAATTTGTATAAAATACACATAAATACAAGGGAAATACACAAAACTCTTCGTCTCCCAACATTTAATTTTCGCATACTTCAAGACTTGGAATTTAATTTTGGGTTTTGGAGGGGAAAATGTAGGCTAATTAGTTAGAGGATCATTTATGTATTTTCACTGGTGTGGCCAAAGTTGGGTCGCGCCAGTGTGGTCGTTTAGTATCTCCCAAATGTTAATATGGTCAATTTTATTGTTAATCGATGTTGAAGGTTAATTTCTTAGCTCCCATTTGGCCATATATTTAGGCTTTATTTTTTCAAAAAAAAAATTGAAAACATTGTTTGTTTATGAAATATGATCATGTTTTGGAGAAGAAAAAAATTCAAAAATTTTCAAATTCCCAAAAACTGATTTAGGTCACTTTTTGGGTGAAAATTTTTCTTCCACTCATAAAACTTCAACTTTTCTTCAAATAAAATGCATGTCCAAACACAAGTTCAACTTTCAAAAATTATTTTTCAACACAACTTCAAAAACTCTTTTTTCAAGTTTCAATTAAATTTATGTCCAAACACTAGCTTAATATGTGTGAAAATAGACAAAATATCAATTAAAATATACCAAAGGAAATAGCAATTTTACAAAACTAAGCTACTCATTTGCTAGATTATAAATATACAGTGTGTACCATAATAGTTTTGTCTTATTGGGAGGGCGCCTTTACAACACTTTTTCATCGTTTCCAAAAGAATCGGATCACTCCACCGGCGGCGGACTTAAGGTCTTTCACTTTCCTTGCTTTTTGCCGCTAATAAAAACCAAACATGCATTCTTTATTTAAAAATCATTGTATTATTAATTTTTTTTTTGGATAAAATAATGACAAAAATACATTCACTAACTTACAACCTGAGTATGTTCTTATACCCTTTTTGTTCAACCTTTGCTAGAACTAGAAATGCGTGTTTCTTTTAAAGCTTTTATTTTTTTTTTTTTTTTGCTGTTATTGTTGAAAAGTTCAGATACATTTGGTTAAGCTTTTGTCGGGGAGAAAATCAGTGTTTTTGAATCGAAGGAAGTGACTTGTCATGAAGTGACTTATACTCGGCAATGGGCATCACAAACATATTCCAAATTTCTGAGCTGCTGTATATGCATGCTTTATGTTGATTTTTTTTTCTTTCTTTTCACATTGTGATTGTTGTGCAGGAAGAGGGGGGAAAAAGTAAGTGCCTATGGAAATAGAGGAAGTACCAGCAACAGCACAAGGGGCACCTCTTTTCCCGCTGGCACTAGCACATATTCATCGCCTCACAATAGAAGAGATACAGGCTTTCACAAATGGACTGGAGAACCAGATTGGGCAAGGAGGGCAGGGAAGGGTCTTCCGGGGACAAATGCACTCACCAAACCCGGACCTAAACGGAAGACCTGTTGCTATTAAGGAGTACTCAGACACATCAGGACCACATGAAGCAAATCATTTGTCCCAGTTTCAACACCCCAACATCATTGGGCTGATAAGTGTGTGTGAGACAGACGACAAATTCTATCTGGTTACGCCATATATGGCAAATGGAGATCTACTCTCCAGATTCCGAGGTAAATTTCGGACTAAGTATCTATTTAAAATAATTTTATACTCTTCATTTTTGGAGCTCCATTTAATATTGCATATTATTGTTGCATTGCTCCATATGAGGCTATTCTGACTCATTAAATCAAAAAGACAAGGGGCACAAAGAAGTGCTGTAGGTTTTACATGTGATGGAAGGAAGTTGAAGATGCAATCCCTTCTGCTACACTGTGCAGCTGCATCTCAACTTTGGAGCATGTTTCTTAATATGTTTGAGGTCGAGTGAGATTTACTGCGATTAGTAAAAGAAGTACTCTGTGCTAGCAATTGGAAGGCTGAGCACATAAACAAAGAAGATTTGATAGGTCATACCCGGTTGCATCTAGCGGACCATTTGGAAGGAAATAAACCTATGAAGTTTTGAAAGAAAAAAGGACTCACAGTCTAGGTTGAAATTTAAAAATATTCGTCTTTTAGCAGCTTGGTGTAAGCTTAATGTGTTACCTGAGTTGGACAAATTGGTGTAGTGGAAAGTTATCTGCAGTGCAGCAAAGGAGCAACAAAAGAAAGAAATCAAAGTGTGGAGAACATAAGAGAGGAAGTAGGTAAAAATTAAGTGAAAAATGAGACAATGTTAGCACCTGATATTTCAGACCCCTGAGTAGACATTTTTCTGCAAACATAGAGCTAGAGCAACAACTTTTGCAGGGCTTTTGTTGCTTCAGTGCCTTGTTTTTTACCACTTCACTAATCTAGGTGAGACATTAAAGGGCCTCATAAACAGTTTCAGATCATTGAGATGTATTTATATATTTGTATAGCTGAACTAGTGCGTTAGCAGTTAGTTAGTTAGTTGCTTAGCTGCAATTAGGTGGTATCAGTCAGTCAGATAGTTACCGATATTTTGGTATAGTTAGCTACGTGTATATATATACTGTTGAAGTGTTAATAGAAATCAGTTTTTCAATTTCCCTAAATCAGACTCTCAGTTCTTCTCTCTTTTCATGTGAGATATCCAGATTTCTCCATTGGAGCTCATCTCAGGCTCAAATTGTTGCTCCATTTTACTAGTAGTTTAACAAAGATACTAGCCTGATGCAGCTCAATCTCCAAACAAAATATTAAGCTGTCTCTTTCCTCCGCAGGGGCTGTCATCTCGCAAATATGGTTCTCCTCAATTGCTTTCCTCTCCACACCCCTCACTCACCTTGACACCAACCTTTCCTATCTTGCAGAACATCCAACCACTCCACCACTCACATTAAGAGAACTGGCAAAGACAGCCTCAACCTGAAATTAAGTTATGGCATCATTGGGTTCCTTCGCAAACATGGGGCAACTTCTCTTAGGATGTTATAGCACTAGGCTTGACACTAGGATAGCTCTATCAAGCTATGTTGCTCGGACTCTCCGAAAATATCGATGGGTGCGTGTCAGATCCTCCAAAAATAGTGAGGATCCGACACGGGTGCGGCAGCTAATACATATGATCTTCCACTCCCAATTATTTGTCTTGGTAATTGGTATCTATCGGCGAAAGTACATAGTAAAGCTAAAAGGAACTGAATGATTTCAAAAACATTGAAACTAGCATTAGACAACAATAGGGAAAAGGCAAAATCTATTGTTTTAATGCATAAAGTTACAACATTTATCTTCAGAATGTGCAAGTTGAGCTTTCCAACAAGTTTCAATTACATGAATTCATAAAGCAATTTTTTTCCAACTCTTGACAGGTTTAGGTTGGGGAGAAATTGTTAATGTCCTAAGGGGAGTTGCACAGACAAGATCCCCGCTGATTTACAGGGATTTAAAACTGCCAACATACTTTTGGACGACGTAACTACACTTTCTTAAACTTATTTGTTTTCTATATCTATGGACTGATTGATAAAACTTACATGCAGGATTTGAATGGAGTTCTGTGTGACTTTGGGACAGTGAAACCAGCTGCAAGCGCAGAAAATGATAGTCGTTTCAGTTTTGGATATGCTGACCCTTTTTATGTAGCTCATGGTAAGGATACTTTTTGTTGTAGATATTTGCTAGATGTTTTTTTTAATCTAAAAAAACATCATGGTTTTGCTAAACTATCTATGATAATATGTAGGTATAGCCTACATATTACTGTAAGACAGAGACCGGACAATAGCCAGATTAAGAAGTTGAAGCAGTGGCTTGGAAAGGAAAAAGACAATTCAGCAGATGAGGAGGAGTATAATTTTGTTTTTTGGTGTGAAGAAAAAAACAAAAGGAAAGGGCATGTTGTCCATGAGCACGGGCGTCTCCATAAAATCAATGGCCTAAAGCCAATTTTTAATAAGATGCCTTATACTTTTTTATTAGTATGTATACACACACATGCAGAAAAAAGTTAGTGTTGCCAATTTTTTCCTACATGTTATTTATAGTATAACATTCTTAAATGATAAAACCTTTAACTTCACGTAGTATTATTATCTATGTTAGTAAGAGATAACTTAAATAAATAAGATGTTAGACAGGTATTTTCAATATGTTACCTTTAATATTGTTGTAAAAAAAGTATTTACTAATATGAAGATTTAAGTAATTTAATTCAAACTTCTAAAGTATTTTTAGTTTTAAAGAGTAGATAATCTTTCTTTCTTTCTTTCTTTTGTCCAATTTTTTTTTGTACTTTTTTTGGGTAAACTTTAATATTGTCTAAGTTGAAATAAAATCATAAAATCCATTATTAAGAAATTTTGGAAATCTAAATCAATGTGTTACTAATTTCCTACTCGAGCATTCTCAATCAAATTTTATAGAGTCTCAATTAAAATAAAACGGCAATCAGTGAATGTGTTATTTAGTTACCCGATATGAATGAAGCTGGTTGAGTAACACGTTCATAGGACAGTGATCTATAAATACTTGTTCATAATTAATCAACACGACTCAACAGAACTGGTGGCTTAAAACTAAAATATATTAAAAGACCCTGAAATTTCTTTCATAAAATTCACATATTGAGACAAAAAAAAAGTGTGAGCGAACAACATATAATATGTGGGTTAGGCGCACGTTATATGGTATTGAACTATCCCCTATAAAAAATATATCATTAAGTGAAAATGGTAAAAGGGTTAAGCCTATAATCGATCTCGTTTTGAACCTTATGACACGTGTCTCGTGGATTTCGTAGTTTAAAAAAGTGAGACACAAAAGAACTTGCTTTCTGATGTGTGGATCAATCAAATGTAACAAAAAAATAATTAATTTAGAGAGTCTGAGTTAAAATTAGAAAGTAAAATCGTAAAAAATATAAATAAAGAAAGAGAGAAAAATAGAATTGCTGAGAAGATAAATATATTATTTAATTTAGCGAGAGAAATATTTTATCCTAACTTATTCAATATTACCTCTACCAAATTTTAAGAAAATTTAAAATATTTTATTAATAATTTTATGAATATAAATGACATATATAATATTATAATATAGCAGTACTTTATATTTTTGGGACCTTAAATATTTGTGGTCTAAGGCAAAAGTTTCATTTGCTTTAACACAACTGGGCGTCCAACGTGAGCAGAGTGTGGGTGTCCATCGTGAGCAGAGTGTGCGTCCAACCATTGATCAAGTAATTGATGTCTTACAGCGATTGAACCAGAGGCGTGGGTGTCTAGCAATTTTTTGAACAAAGAAACCAGGAAAGACTTTAGCGACACATCTATTTTGCCAGTTTTTGTAATTAACGCATTACTTTTTTGCAATCGAGACAGAAAGATTTGAGATTGATTCTGAAATTTCACACAGTTTGATGCATAAGTCGGTTAAGTAGACAAGAAAAGTATTAACACTTGAACAAGGAATGAAGAAATCCAGATCAGATCTATACTTACCTTTGTGAACAACAGAGATTGAGAGGAGAACGAGGATGTCCCTAAGTAGATAGGAGGAGAACTGGTCACCCACCGCTTCGGTTCTCTAGATAGATTCGCCCAGCAAACTACTCCTATCATATCTTGCCACGTCATTAATATTATTAATTTAATAATTATAGTAAAACAAAACTTTGCCATTATTGAAGGGTAAAAAGTGGAAATTTGCACCGTTACTAGTCTGTCTAAATTCACGGTGTCCTATAGAAAAAGGTTTCTTTATCTTCTTTAATAGCAACGTGGTCCACTTTTAGTGGTTGAAAATTCATAAAAAATGAAGTGTGCCAGTCTATATCATATGATGTGTTAAAAAACATTATGTATACTTGTAGTTTCAAATGCAAATAGAGAAAGAAGTCTTTTGGGAATAATATGCAGCAAAAACTAGCTTAGATAAATCAAATTTGAGAAATTAAAAATTAAAAAAAAATTTACTTACCGTATGTACTACTTACTTCATATTCTTAAAGATATTCGTATCACTTATAAATTGTAGTATTAAAAATTTGAGACTGTTCCCTTTTATTTTCAAAATAATTCTCAAAAATAAGTGGACCTTTTAATATGCAATAATGACGTGAAAATAGAAAAAGAAATGCTTTACCCATAATTGACTAGTTAAAGTGAAATTTCACCACCAGTGTGTCTAATCCGGATGTCGTGGGATTCTCGCGGTGGGGATTGATCTTATAAAAAATCATTCATCTTGAATTAGGTAAATGCGTCCGCAAAATGCTGTCAAGATTTGGTTAAACTCTTGATAGATCTGTGATCAGATTTGGATGGTTGCGGTTAGGGGTGTACATAGGTCGGGCAGGTTCGGATTTTTCAATTATCAATCCAAATCAATGGTGTCGGGTTTTTAAATTTATAAACCAAATCAAACCAAACCAACAAAGTTAGATTTTTCAATCTCGGGTTTTCTCGGTTTTTTGGATTTTTTTTTGGGCAAAGTATTCATGGCATAAAATATGTAACTTTTCCTAGTAAAATACAACTATATAATGTATTTTCCAAAAACTAACACAATAATATGAGATAAGTCATAGCATTATACTAAAATATTCAATAACAAGATAAAATAATAAAATTACATAAAACAAATATTACTAATTAATATGCTATAATAAAAATTAACATAATCTAAAAATACTATATAGGTCATGCTAAAATAAGTATAGCTAATAAGTACTCTAAAGGAAAAGATAAACTAAGTTATGCATTTTCATTATAAACCAATGTAAACTAAAATAATTATCCAACACTATCGTCATTCCTAGTATTCAATTGAATTTCTTTTGTTAGCATTAGTATTGATATGAACTTTGTTTGAGTTATTGCATTTATGAGCTTTAAAAATTATTTAACATTCAAGAATGTTAACTCTAAACTTGATATAATACGTTAAACGATAAAATTGTGAAAAAGTTTAAGAAATATTTATAAATTATATTACAATAAATATTTATATGTATAAAATATTTTTTAAAAATATATAAATATGCTATCGGGTTGGTTTGGTTTCGGTTTGACTTTTTTTTAGTTAAAACCAAACCAAACCAAACCAATTATGGTCGGGCTTTATTTTTCAATACCAAATCAAATCAAACCAAACTATATCGGATTTTTTTCCGATTTGATTCGGATTATCGATTTCTTTGTACACCCCTAGTTACGGTGATATGGCTAAGATGGTTACGAAGGAAGGAAGGAAATGGTTCCACATGGTGGTGGAAAAGGGCAGCTAGTTGGAATGGTAAGCTTAGAAGTGGCAAACGGGCCCATCGAAAATGGACAATGCAAAAACGGATAAATTATCCAACCCGGTCCATGTTTAATACGGATAAAAAATGAGTTATCCAATGGATAATATGAATATAATATGGATATCCATAATGTACTACTCCATTTACACTTCAATATCAAGAGATATATAGGCGGGCGCGCACACACTCTTAAGAGGTAGGATGGGTAGTTGTTGAAGGAAGTGTCTCAGGAAGGGAGGTGAGTTCAGCCACGTTTTTTATTGGAGATTTAAGAAAAAATGGTAGGATACCTTGAGCTTAATCTAGCTTCTTCTTCCTTTGTGAGCCTTGATTTGATGCCGCAAATTAAGAAGAGCAGGGGGGATTAAGATGAGCATGGGGGGAGGGGATTTTTTATTACATAAAAGACTAAATACAAATTGGACTTTCACATAGGATGGTGAGATTCTGTCTTGTCAAAGGAAGGAGCTAGATTTGGCTTGTTCGAGATAACGAGTCAAAGAATTTTCAAAAGAAGGATATATTCAGCTCCAGTTAACGTCCGATAGCATAGACGTGGGAAAAAAACGTTAAGAAACACACAAAGTGGACATGACAATAGAATTCTAAATCTACTGAAAAGAGAGATTAAATGCCCTGTTATCAATCGTATGCTGGTAACAAGGCTAGCGCATTGCATTGGCTTCAGCAAACAAGTTTACCAGCATTTCCATCAAAATGAAAGGGTCAAATTAGTATCCACTGTAAACCTACTATCTAACTGATCCACTTAGTACATGCATCACTGGGCATTAATTGGAAGGGAAGCCTGATGTATCACATTAACGTCTAACATTTAACATCTTAAGAAAGAACTCATTTCCTCTCTACATGTTGTTGCACAACATGTAAAGCCTCCAGACGGTTAACAACTTCTTTCATTAGTGGTCGCTTCTTTTCTTCTTCATCCAAATACTGCATTGCAAGATTTGTCATTTTAGGTCCATCACGACGATCAAAGTCTGGATCATCATCAAGACTTTGGTGCACAAGTGAACACTAGGCTTGTACTCTTTCAAGGCCCACAAATCAACTGCAGTCGCTACGGTATTTTTCACATCAATAACTCTTTTGCTCATAAGATCTAAGAGCAAAACACCAAATGAGTAAATATCGGATTTGACAGTCCACGCACCTGCACATATTTTACAAGCATGAAAAGTGCATAAGAACGGATGCTTCAGCGAAAGAAAGAAAGAAAGAACAACGAAATGGACAGGCTGTGAAAGATAGAAGCACCATTTCTTTTCGCAAGTCCAAGTAAAGCAGCACACTAAAAACAAGAAGAATAAAGTCGTACTCTAAAAGGAAAAAGGAAACTAGAAATGGTTTCAAAAACTCCATGGTGCTTTACTTGGACTTGCTTAGAATTTATTCCCTACAAGTTCTTATCGGGCTTCACATTTAATCCCTACAAGTTCTTATCGCAAATTGTTGTTTCCTACAAACCATCATCTTGGTTTCAGAAACTTCTGGATAAATTTGCTTAGAATGGTAGGACAGAAAAAAAGAGAGTGGAAAGGATGATGTATTTTAAACACAAAATTAACACAATTATTCGCCTCTTTTCCTCCAAAGATATTGTGTCAACCTTTATACATCAAAAAATTAACAAGGGGTCAATTTGGAGCTTGGCAGGACGACAACTCCAATAAGTTTAATGAGAAATGTTTTCAATACACCAAACTTCTAAAATTGATAGAATCAAGTGGCACCTCCACAAGAGTGTATTACCTATCACCAACATGTAAATATAATGAAAACAACGCTAATTTACAACTGTTATATTTGATTGAAACAATGACTGGGTTTAGGGACTAGTACCACATTGAGCAACATCTGGAGCAATGTAGCCAAAAGTTCCAGCTTCACGATGACTGACTGTCTTATCCAAATTACTTCCAAGTAACATACCAAATTCAAACAGGATGGGATTGAAATTCTGGAGAGAAAGAACAGACACTATTTTTACTCAGTCATGAAATATTGTGTGCAAACACAAAATAACAATGTCAACACACGACCAGGAACTTTACATACCCAGTGGAAACAACAAAATGTATTTGTAATAACGTACCTTGTCGAGCACTATGTGAGCTGGATTAATGTTGCGAATCAGGTATTGTGACTTTTGACCATGCAAGACATTCACCAAGCGAGCTAATGCAAGTGCAGCCCTAACTCTGTCCAGCCATTTGAACTCATCCGAACAAGAAAACTAGAAAAAGTAATTACATTGTCTGCACATCTCGTCCTCCTTTTTTTCATGAATAAATTTTTCCGCCTGTCACCGTGATTAAGAAAAGGATTTCCTACATGTGTCTACCCTCCCCCCCCCCCCCAAGCCCTCTTTTTTTAAGGTCTCTTCCCCATATAACAGCTATTTCCACCTTCTAGTGACAACAGATCTTTTACTCAATGGTCTCACTAGTATAGACCTCGATATGGCAACATGAAATGCGCTTAACAGCAGAAGATACTCAAGACAAGGTTGAACATGTAATATTATTTTTTTATTACCGTACTGTCCGGCCAGCTTGCGCACACCTCGACTAATTCTAAGGGGTACCTTCTACCTTCCACTAGCACAGGTACCGGATAACTCTATCCACCAAGACTTGGATTGATGGGAAAAAATCAATAAATATAAATATGAGAGTAGAGGGGTACCTTGAATGATAAAGTTATACAAGGTGTCACGTGGTTTGAGATCGTAAACAACCCCCAGAATTTTATCCTCTCGACAATATCCAATCAATTTCACTAAGTTCGGATTGCCCCTAATCCTTGGATCTTGCAAGAATTTAAGTTCATCCTACAAGCACATACAAGCAATCTTCCAGACTAAGCATAAACTAGGAAAAGAATCAGTAGGTAAGAGATTGTGCACACACACATAATAAAGACACAAACCTCAAATCTCACTAGGTCTTTATTGTCTCGAAGAACCCTAGGATCAAACAGAATCTTGACAGCCACATCCTTGGTAGTTTCATCTTCTTGATTCAAACCCACAGGCATCTTCCCACGGTAGAGCTTACCATATTGAGAGATTCCAATAAGATTATCTGGAGAAAATTGACCCGTATACTGTCTCAATTTCTCAAATGTGAGGTCAAGAAGATCATTTTTCACAGTGAGATCAACAATATCACTTTCCACAGTGAAATCAAAAATATCACTTACGTCAGGAAGATCATTTTTCACTGGGTATTCTTTTCCTATACAAGACAGGCTGAAGCAACCTGTAAAGAAGTGACAAGAGGGTCATACAGCATTATAACAAGAAGGGATTGAAATCTGTAAATGATCATAGGAGAATTGAAATTTTGTAACAAAATACCAAGAACAAAAAAGGAAACACCCAATTGCATGCGTCAATAACGTAGGAAGCTATATTAAGATTTAGGGCAGGCATGACATTATCAACCTAAGCGGCTTTTTCCATGTCGAATCTCATATACAGAATTTGTGCCTCCGCCCCTCGTAATCAGACCATATGAAAATTTTGAATAATACGAAACGCATTCTAAATTTCTTCTAAAAAAATCAGAGATATCGTACGGCCTCTGGGAAGATAAACTAAACCAAAACCCTAGAAATGGAAATAGATCGGCACGTCAAAAATAGATACAAATCAATATAAAAGAATGAAGATAAATCGAAAATAGTCACCTTTAGAGCGCCAGAAAGGCATGATTTTGACGAAGAATTCTTTCTTTTTGTTTCACTCACTCAGGATTTTGCCGAAGAACGAGGTTCTGCAAATTTTCCTTGTGTACAAAAGAAGTCAATAGTACTATTTGTATAATAATTCAAATTATTAATGAGGATCAATTTAGCACCAATTTTTATTATTTTTATTTTTCATTTGCTTTGGTACCGAAATTAATGGTGATTAAAGTTAGTAGTTGGAGGGTACTCCTCCTACGGAGAAGTTGTTTATAAGAGGAGACTTCAATGGTCATATTGGGTGTCTGTTGGGGGTTATGGCTAGGTGTATCGGCTTTGGGGATATGAACGGAGGAGGTAATTCACTGTTAGATTTCGCTAGAGTTTTTGAACTAGTGATCGTGAAGCTAGTTTTTCGAAGAGGGAGGAGCATTTGATTACTTTCCGAAGTATGGTGGCTAAGACTCAAATTGATTATCTCCTCCTCAAGAGGTGCGATAGGGGGTTGTGTAGAGATTGTAAGGTGATCCCGAGTGAGAACCTCGCGACTCAACATAGGTTTTTGGCGATGGACGTCGGTATCTTGATTAGAGGTAGAAGAGGTGTGTACGGGGTCAACCGAGGATCAGATGGGGAGTGTTGACTAAGAATAATGCGCAGGAGTTGGAGGGGCGGCTGACGGCTATGGGAGCCTAGAAACGTTGTGGGGGTGCTAGCGCTATGTGAACGGCGACGGCGGATTGTATTAGGAGGTGGCGAAAGGGGTGTTAGGGGTCTCGAAGGGTTACTTTGGCGGGCCCCAAGGTGACTGGTGATGGAATGGCGTGGTCCAGGGTAAAGTGGAAGCAAAGAAAGTGGCGTACCTTAAGTTAGTGGAGAGCACCAACGAGGAGCAGAGAAGAGCGAACATAGTAAAATACAAGGAAGCTAGGAAGGAGGCGAAATTAGCGGCCGCAATATTCAAGTTGGGATGAATGGTTAAGGTCTAATAGGGCTGCGGTAACTGGAGCGGAATCGCTCCTGCCGAGATGGCCGTTGCTCGCCGGTTTACCTGCAAATAAGCAATACAAGCATATATTGTGCGTAAATTTAAACATGATGCAAGTTCCCGTAGGACCATGAATGTTGTCTTTGGACGGTTAGGATGACGTCCTCGGACCATGACGTCCTGGGCCATGAAGTGTATAATAAAGGATTCGCAGGCTATGAAATGATGTTCTCAAGCTATGAGAATGATACCTCCGAACCATGATGCCTTCGAATAATGATATGCGAAAAATTAAAGGGATCTTCAGGCCATGATATGGCGTTCTCGGGCTATGCGAATGATGCCTCCGAACGATGACGCCCTTAGATAATTTGGCGATCTTTTAGCCCATGAAATGCAGTAGATGGCGATCTTTCGACCCATGAAATGCAATAAATGGCGATCTTTCAGCCATGCAGAATGTAAATAAGGTGGCGATCTTTCAGCCAATGCAAATGTAAATAAGGTGGCGATCTTTCAGCCATGCAAGTGTAAATAAAGTGGCGATATTTCAGCCATGCAAATATAAATAAGTTGGCGATCTTTCAGCCAATGCAAATGTAAATAAGGTGGCGATTTTTCAGCCATGCAATGCAGCAAATGCAGATGGAGACAGTGTTCAGTCTCGGAAGGCAGAATGGTAGCTTTATGCATTGCAGAAAATGCAGATGGAGACAGTGCTTAGTCTCGGAAGGCAGAATGGTAGCCTTATGCAATGCAGAATATGCAGATGGAGATAGTGCTTAGTCTCGGAAGGTAGAATGGTACTTATGCAATGCAGAATATGCAGATGGAGACAGTGCTTAGTCTCGGAAGGCAAAATGGTAGCCTTATACAATTCAGAAAATACAGATGGAGACAGTGCTTAGTCTCGGAAGGCAGAATGGTAGCCTTATGCAATGCAGAAAATGCAGATGGAGACAGTGCTTAGTCTCGGAAGGCAGAATAGTAGCCTTATGCAAGAGATAAAAGGCAAGTGGTAATAGAATTTTCTTAGCTGATGGCTGATTGTGATATTGTGGCCGCTGGGGATATTGTGTGCGGATAACAACTGTGAATAGGTGTGACGGTTCTGAGAGTTGTATTTCTGAACAATATGAGTGTATAATATAGTCGATGACTTTGCGACTTGGGTGCCTGCATCCAAAGAAAAATCGTGAGTTTTGTAAAGGGGAAAGGTTAGTTCGTATCCCCGCTAACTTTGCTTGACTTGCTCAGCTCCTATTTCGGTGTACTGTGCGTAACATTGGGGTAGCGTTGCTAAACAAAGCAATTTTGGTAACAAACATGCATGATTTAGTAAAAATGTAACATAAATACATAATCGAGAATAGTTTTCTTTAGATGAACCGACGACCGTGACGTGGTTCAAGACATTGCAACCTTTCTTGCTCCGGAATTTTGAGGGTCCTCCTCAAAATTCTGCCCCAGTTTACTAGGTTGGTGCTTCTGACGGCTGCTTGCGGTGACTGGCTGAAATTACTTCGGAATTTTGAGGGTCCTCCTCAAAATTCTGCCCCAGTTCCCAATTACGGGGGGAAATAAAAATTTTATTGACTTGTGACCGAACCCATAGGGCTGCTTACGTATCCCCTCTTAAATGGGAATCAGGTCAAGCGTAGTTCAAATTACATCATATGAGGAAAGCATAAAGGTTACACATAGTATCGCTTGACTGCATATGAATTGATCGACTTTGGCCAGACTTCTCCGTCCATTTCCGCAAGTATGAGGGCTCCTCCTGTTAGAACCCGGTGAACCATGTACGGACCCTGTCAGTTGGGAGAGAATTTCCCTCTGGCTTCATCTTGATGCGGGAAAATTTTCTTTAACACCAGCTGCCGCGGTGTGAATTATCTCGGCTTGACTCTTTTGTTGAAGGCTCTGGACATTCTATTCTGATAGAGCTGACCGTGGCAAACTGCATTCATTCTCTTTCCATATATAAGAGCTAGCTGCTTGTAACGACTCTTCACCCATTTTGCATCGTCGAGCTCAGCTTCTTGTATGATCCTCAAGGAAGGGATTTCTACTTCGGCGGGAATGACCGCTTCTGTACCATATAGCAGCATGTAGGGGGTTTCCCCAGTTGATGTGCGGACTGTGGTATGGTATCCCAATAAAGCAAATGATAGCTTCTCGGGCCACTATTTATGCTTCTCTATCATTTCCCTCTGAATCTATGTCCGTTTGTTGCGTTGTCTCGTTGCATGTCACAGTCATTGGTTCATCAAGATAAGTAATAGTAATGCTGTATAAATAAAGCTCACCATTCAAGTAAGTCACTTTACCCGGCGCTTACTGTCTTCTTTCTAGCCTAAATGAGAGAAAATAATAAGAGTAAGATTTATAAGGAAACCGAAATGCTTTGATAAATTTCATAACTGTTTTGAACATTGGAGATCTTATTGCGAAGTTTAAAATGCGAAAGGAAAGTCAACTAGTAAAAATAAAAGATAGTGCATGATGCTTGTTCAGCCTTGCTACCCCGAGGCTTTCTGGGCCCTGGTGGTTCTGATGGTCCAGTTGTTGAGGCGTGCTCCTCGGCTTACTGCCTGTATGGAAGGGCCTTCCTCCCCTCCTCCTCGAAAATGACACAGCAATCCATATCATCGTCTTCTAGGAACAAATTCCTTACTGTTGCCAGTGCTTCCTCTTCTTCTGACCCATAAATAATGTTGGCTGGCTGGAAAGTCTGCTCCAAATGTGGTATTGGCTGCTCCAGCGGATAGTAAGGACCGTGCCATGGTGGCGACCAATTATTGAATTCCTCCCAAGTATACTCATATCCCAGACCAAAGTTGGTACCATGTTTCTTTAGTTTGATAGGCTTAGCGATTCCTTGGAGATTTTTGCCGAGCCCTTTGCCAGGTTCGTACCCACACCAATTTAGTATGCTCTCGATCTTGTTGTCCCACCATTTGTCCTTGTCGACGGCGTTTACTCGCTCGATGTGGTGATAGGTCTCCCCGCCTATCTTTCTTCTGCCTCTGATTGCTGGGATGGTCTGGCGGCTGTATATGGGGTTGCTATCGTCGCCGTGAATGATCACCTCTTGGTGGTTCCACTCAAACTTCACTGCCTGATGTAGTGTGGATGCTACGACCCCAGCGGCATGAATCCATGGTCGTCCCAACAACAAATTGTAAGATGACGGCACGTCTATCACTTGAAAATCAACATCGAACCAAGTAGGCCCCATTTGCAAACACAGGCTAATTTCCCCAATGGTGGACCTTTGGGAATCGTCGAAAGCGTTGACGTTGATGGCCCCATCCTTGATCTCATGCAGCCCCTTTCCTAATGTCCTGAGTGTTACCAACGGACAAATGTTGAGGCTGGACACTCCATCAATCAGGATTCTGGTGATAAAATAATCTTCGCATTGCACGGTGATGTGCAACGCCTTGTTGTGACTCAACCCTTCTGGTGGCAGCTCATCTTCATGAAAAGTTATCTTGTGACTTTCCAATACCTGCCCTACCATGTTCGCATCTCTCCTCCGGTGATGTTGCTTGGTACATATGCCTCACTCAGCACCTTTAACAAGGCATTCTTGTGTGCATCGGAATCCTATAGCAAAGCTAGGATAGAAATTTGTGCCGGTGTTTTGTTCAGCTGATCAACGATCGAGTATTCCTTGGCTTGTATCTTTCTCCAGAGATCATCGGGCCCGGTTTCAGCGATGGTTAGCCGCCCTGAGGCCTGCTTGCTTGACTCATCCAAATGTTCCGGAGTATAAACCCTACCGGTTCTTGTCATGCCCTGGGCCGCAACGGTTTCCCCGATCTTGACCTTCCCTTTTCTTCTTGCCTCGGCTATATAGTCCCATGGTATGGCCTTGGTATGGAACGGTGTCATGGCCGACATTGCTACTGGAATGGGCACCTTTACTCCGAACGGAGCATGTGCTTTGGAAGGTACAACCACAACTTCAAATGGTGTGGGTGCGTTTGCTGGAAACGCAAACTCGACCTCAATTGGCGTTGGCGTCTTTG